TTTATTTAGTTTAAATTCTGCATTGCCTATGTGTGTTTTCCAATTTATCTTGGAAGCAACGTGAATCCCAAGGAACTTAGTATGAAAAAACCCTTTTGATTGGGACATTTGCGACAGTGACATGAGGTAAAACAGGAGGCATGTCTTTATTTCTATGGAAAATTATATAATGTGTCTTGTCGACAATCAGGGTAAGCTTATTTAGAGTCATCCATCTTATGTTTGTCATTTCACTGTTTGTGGTGTTGATTAAATCTATAATGGAGTGCGTAACAGCAAGTATCACAGCATAGAGAGTGAACCTCAGACAGTTTGCACTGACAATATCATTGGTGTAAAGAAAGAACAGAATGGGTCCCAAGATAGAGCCCTGTGGGACTCCATGAGCGATAGTTCTTTCAGAGGAGTTGCAATCATTGAAAACTACATACTGTGTGCAGTTTGATAGATACGAAGCGAACCAAGCATGTACACTCCCTTTTATACCGTAATGGTATAATTTTTCTAAAAGAATTCGATGGTTGACCGTATCGAATGCTTTAGAAAGGTCTAAGAATGTAGCAAGAGTAAATTTACGACCATCAAAAGATTTTAAAGTTTTATTTGTGAAGTCTGGAACCGCTAATTCAGATGATTTGTTCTTCAAGAAATCATACTGACAATTGTTGATTATATAATTTTCATAAAGAAAATCAGTTAATCTAATGGACATGATTTTTTTAAAGATTTTGCTAAAAGCTGTTAGTATTGAAATTGGGGGATAGTTATTAAGGCAATGGGAGCGTCTTGAACATGGAATGAACTTTGGCAATCTTGAGTTTCGTGGGAAATACTCCCATACTAAATGATATAGTAATTACATGTTTCAGGGGCTTAAGAATGCAAGGAAGTATTTCCTTAATGATGTTGATGGGAATGCAGTCGTCCCCTGGAGAGGAAGTTTTAAGGCCATTAACAACATTGATGATATCTCTGTCTGTTACCTGATTCAGGCTCATGTTGTTGGAGGGCCCGAGAAATTCTTTAAAGTCTCCGTCCACATTAGGGGTTAATCGTGACAGATTTTCGCCTATGTTTATAAAATATTTGTTGAATTCATTTGTAATGACGTTGGGGTCATTGATTTCCTTTTCATCTATTAGTACTTTGTCGGATTTTTGTTTATCATTCCTGTGAAGAACATCGTTTAGAATTTGCCATGTCTTCTTAGTGTCACCTGCACTTTGATCAAGCTTCATTTTGTAATAATCTGCCTTTGCCTTCCGAATTGTTAGTTTTAAGCGGTTGTGTAGAGACCGAAATGTCTCGCCGTAGGAGAGTGGCCACTTTGCATATTTCTTTTGAAGTTTATTTTTTTCTTTGATTAAATTTCTTTTTTCACATGTAATGTATGGTTTCTTAAAGGACTTGGATTTTTTGTGACTTACATTTTAATGGGAAAAATCTTTCAAAGGAGGGGATAAAAAGACTAATGAAATTTTCATAGGCAACTTCGGGATTGTGAGAGGCAAACACGAGGTCCCAACATACTTCAGTAAGGTGACGTTTAAAATTGGCTATATTGGATTCTTTATAGCCGCGATAGTAAAATATTTTATCGGTTTTATGTTCATTATGTTGTAATTCTAGGTTAAAAGTACTAAAAACAGGAATATATAACCCCACGCTTTTAATTTTGGTAAAAAAATGTCCAGATATGATCTATTAAGGAGGCAGTTTCCTTGTACTCTGGTAGGCTTACTGACTGCTGAGAAAAAGAGCCTAGAATTAAGGGTGGAGACGGTTTCCCTGACTTTGTTATCAGAGTCGGCCTTGGGGTCTAGGTTAAAATCCCCACTGATGAGACACTTCTTGTTTTCTTCAGAGGCAGTCTCGATTATGAGCTGAATCTTGTCCAGAAAAAGAGAAAAGTTACTTTTAGGGCGCCTATACAATTGCCCAATCAGTAAGCTCTCGTTGTTAATAGTTACTTCAGTAAATACTGACTCAATAAAATCTTCTCGGAAAGATAGATCAGCTCTACGACGAGAGGAAAATCTGTCATGAACATAGAGGGCAACGCTCCCGCTGTTTCTAGAGTGGTGCGAGAAATATGCATGGTAGTCGGGGAGTGTGAAGAGGTGTTGAATGTCTTGAGTGAGTCTAGTTTCAGAGAAACCTATCATATCAAAACCATTCGGATGTCGACATTGCAAATTAAATTCATCAAAATGATTGGGAAGGCTACAGATATTATGGGTGAAAATAGACAAATACGTATTAGATGCACTGTTAGAAGTAATAGAATCAGGAAAGACATAAGAACAATTTGGATTTATCACGTTAAGTAAATCAGACACGAAATTATCTGCTCCTAGAGAATCAAAAGAATTAAAATGGCCATCAGAGGCCTCGATTTTAACGTTATGAAATGTTCTTGATTCTAGTACTTTTAAGCTAATAACCTGGGCGACATTATCAGAAGTAAATACATTCATTAAGGCATCATCATTCAGATCTTGGAAAGAAAAAGTGAATGCACAGTCCATATTGAATTAATAAAATGAGTGTTCGGTACGTGGTATAAATTTACAAATTACCAGAAACGGCATCACTTCTTATTTCTCAGACGCTGGCTGACGGGACTGAACGGGGGTAGGGGTTCAAGGGCCGTGGCTCCCACAGGAGATCTCAGCGCCGTCGAGTAGGAGTGTCGTGCGGGTGGCGGGGTGTTGAGGCAAGAACCCGAAGGGCGCTACATCAGGGGTGACGGCGGGTCAGACAGCGAGGCGGGGCGAGGACGGGACTGCAGCGGAGTGGGCAGCCGTAGCGGATCGAAGGCAGTGCCTGAAGGCGGCATGGGGAGGGCTGAGTCAGGAGGGGGGCGAGGACACTGGCGCTCGGTTACAACTAGCTTCCTGTAGCTGAAGAAGGCGTTCTTGTCCTCGCTCCTCGCCTGTCTCAGCTGCTCCAGCTGCTCCTTCCGGGCCTTGATGGTGCCGGCGCAGAAGTCTTAGTTCACGAACAACCTGCCAGGAGCATTCTTAAACTTGGCTTTATCCTTGAACACCGCCTCACGATCCACCAAACTCGCGAATTTGGCCACGATGTCTCTGGGCCTATCCTGAGTTGAGCGGCCCACACGGTGGGCGCGTTCGACCCTAGGTGTGAGGTGGATGTGTTGTCGCAGCAGGTCTGATAGTTTCCGCTGGCACATCTCCCAGGTTTCGGCGCGCTCCTCCGGGATGCCCGAGAATCGCAGGTTATTGCGACGTCCCTGGTCGTCCTGGTAGTTCAGCCGCTCCGTCATTTTCGCTAGGTCGCTCTTCAAATCGGCGTTCTCCCTCGACAGGGCGCTCAAGCGGTCCTTCAGTTCCTCGGCACCGCACCTTGCAGCCTCCTCCCGTGCCTTGAGATCCTCGATTTCCTTGTGGGCGAACTCCAGACTTCGAATTGCCTCGCCCAAGCGAGAGCTGAGGCTCTCGTTCTGGTGAGACATTTCGCGCTGGATTCGTTCCAAGGCTTCGCCCAGTAGGTTGCTCTGTAGGTCGATCAGACCGTTCAGTTCTGCGCGGGTCAGGGACGGCGAATTGATGGGAGAAGGTCGACTGGGTGGCATTGTGCAGCAGAGCTCGTATCACCAGGTTCACAGGTGAAGTTTGTTGGACACTCGATAGTACAGCAGCAGGAGCAGTAGGTGGCGCGGCAGGAGGCGCAGTGGAAGGAGCAGATAGGAGAGGCAGCACGGGATCAGCGAAGAGGAGGCTCACAGGAGAAGTTGGTTGGCTCACACGGTAGAACAGCAGCAGGAGCAGTAGGTGGCGTGGTAGGAGGCGCAGCAGAAGGAGCAGAGCGTAGTGCGGCAGAGAGGAGAGGCAGCGCGAACTCAGCGAAGAGGAGGCTCACAGGAGAAGTCTGTTGGCGGCAGGAGGCGCAGCAGGAGCTGAGGGTAGCGCGGCAGAAGGGAGGTGCGCGCAGGCTCAGCGATGAGGAGCGAGGCGGTTTCCCCGAAAATCGAATTTGTTATAAATCCGTGGCAATTTTGGGCATCATCCTCAAACATTCCTATCAGATTGTGTTCCACTGCTGCTTATACCTGTCATAGTATTACAGAATTTCTGTAAAAGATTTGGATATATATATATATATATTTGTACTCCAGGTCTGACAGATGCATTCATGCATCTGTCTCTTCCTGCTCTGTCTCCGTTCGTGCATTTTGGTTCTCGACGGATGTGAGCGGATAGATCGGCGCATCCATGTCATCCAACACGAAGGCGTCGTCGGGCCAGTTTGAATCCTCGTCTTCCAACTTCGTATAACTTCGTATAATGTATGCTATACGAAGTTATTACGCCAAGGCTTCGCCCAGTAGGTTGCTCTGTAGGTCGATCAGACCGTTCACTTCTGCGCGGGTCAGGTACGGCGAATTGATGGGAGAAGGTCGACTGGGTGGCATTGTGCAGCAGGGCTCGTATCACCAGGTTCACAGGTGAAGTTTGTTGGACACTCGATAGTACAGCAGCAGGAGCAGTAGGTGGCGTGGTAGGAGGCGCAGCAGAAGGAGCAGAGCGTAGTGCGGCAGAGAGGAGAGGCAGCGCGAACTCAGCGAAGAGGAGGCTCACAGGAGAAGTTGGTTGGCTCACACGGTAGAACAGCAGCAGGAGCAGTAGGTGGCGTGGTAGGAGGCGCAGCAGAAGGAGCAGAGCGTAGTGCGGCAGAGAGGAGAGGCAGCGCGAACTCAGCGAAGAGGAGGCTCACAGGAGAAGTCTGTTGGCGGCAGGAGGCGTCGTATAACTTCGTATAATGTATGCTATACGAAGTTATTACGGTTGGACACTCGATAGTACAGCAGCAGGAGCAGTAGGTGGCGCGGCAGGAGGCGCAGTGGAAGGAGCAGATAGGAGAGGCAGCACGGGATCAGCGAAGTGGAGGCTCACAGGAGAAGTCTGTTGGCGGCAGGAGGCGTCGTATAACTTCGTATAATGTATGCTATACGAAGTTATTACGTATTTGTACTCCAGGTCTGACAGATGCATTCATGCATCTGTCTCTTCCTGCTCTGTCTCCGTTCGTGCATTTTGGTTCTCGACGGATGTGAGCGGATAGATCGGCGCATCCATGTCATCCAACACGAAGGCGTCGTCGGGCCAGTTTGAATCCTCGTTTTCCAACTCGGTGAAGGTAATTCTGCCTTGCCTGCTTTAGAGTAGAGAGAATTTGTGAGAATGGGTTGGTGGAATCGTTGGAAAGCCGTCTGCTAGAGATTATAACCATTTTCATTGCGTTTTACCTGTGTTTTATATGCAGAATCATAACGAATATTGTTTTTTATTTTTTTCTTATAATTTTAACAATGGCATGTAAAGAGAAAGATTATTTACAATTTATTTACCATTATCGATACCATGGTTAAGATTGCATTTATAATAATGATAGTATTAGTGTTAATGTTTGGATGTTACTACTACATTCACTACTATGTCATCATCATATTTATCATTCTCACCATACCCATAACCACCATGACCATTACCACCATTCGTAGCATAAGTTAAAAATCTTTAAAAATCCACCAGGAGATGTGAATCTAAGGATATACAATAGGAAATATATGAAAATAAATACACACACACACACACACACACACACACACACACACACACACACATATATATATATATATATATATATATATATATATATATATATATATATATATCAATTGATCAATCTAACCGCCTTCACCAGCAAAAACTAAAGCTCTGAATCTCACGTCCTCTTCCATGTGTAGGCGACGAGGGCGGCGACGACGAGGAGCCCGACGAGGCAGGCCAGCACGATGGCGGCGACGGCGGCCGCGCTCAGGCCGCCAGACCCGCTCGGGCTGTTGAGGACCTCGCATCTGTTGCCTGAGTAGCCTTCGGTGCAGCTGAGAAGGTAGAAAGGAGAAATAGGAAATGTTACAAGAGGAAAAATGCCTGCTTGTCTTTCGAGCGGGGTAGGATTTCTCATATATTTCCCGAGTAGCCTTCGGTGCAGCTAAGAAAGAAGAGAAAGAAATGCTTGTTTTATTGTGATATAACATGATTCTTGTTTGGGTACCTATTCTTGAAGAGAATTTAGAGGATTCTAATCACCTCAAAGAAAATTAGAATAAGTAATGATAGTGATTGATGATGGTAAATACCACGATAGGAAAACATACATTTACATCCATCTTTATGACTAACGATTCCAAAAGCGCTAAGTCAATGAGAATAGGGGTGTGGCCTACATCTAGTTCGCTATCCCTAGAGAATATGAAATTAGACAATAAAAAGTAATTTCCTTTGCTATTTCCAACTGAATTCTATCGCTGAAAATAATGGCAAATACCCAAACAAATCGTCTTACAAACAACACGGACTGACTTACGAACAGAACGGTGCCCCGGACTCATGCAAGTGGCAGGTCCCGTGCAGGCAATAGTAGTTCGGACACTCTCCACACAAGGACTCGTCGGCATGGTATGAGTCGCAAAAGTAACTGCCATCGCACAGCTCGTCCAGGCGCATACACGGACGGTCCGACATGAACTGGTCGGCGCAGTAGACGAAGCCAGGGTCACACGGGGTCTTAGTCACTGGTTGGGATAAAGGCGTGTTTCGTAAATCATGCTAGAAAAACAAAAGAAAAAGAGAGTAAAGAAAGAGGAAGAGCAAACGGCTAATAAAAAGCTGAAACGGATCCTAAATTACTCAACCTTTCATTTTCATAGTGCATTCAGCTTCATGCTTGAGAACGAAGTTTGCGAGAGACAGCCATAGCACAGTACTGTCTTAGTATATACGAGCAAAACGCACATATTTTTATTCCTTACCTGGGCAGTTCATCTCGTCAGCAGCGTTGGGGCAATCCGTCACTCCGTCGCAGAGGAGGAGCGAGGGCACGCAGGCGTCGTCTGCGCCTCCACAGGGAAACTGCATGGGCAGGCACGGTGAGGGGCTGGGCGTCGCAGCTGTGGTGGAGGCCGGCGTGGTGGGCTTCGGGCTCGTGGTGGGCCGCGGGGCTACGGTCGGACAGGTCACTTCTAGGGAAAAGTTACGGATACTTAAAGAGACGTTTTGCGAAGTCGTATGTTGCGGGCTTTCGAATGAAATAAAACAGGTGAAGTTTCTTGATTCATCATTGTTACGAACCCTTCTTTCTGCTTAGGAGTATATGTATGTATGTATGTACACACACACACACACA